CATGGAGATAATGAACGTTGCAACTAAAGCTGATATGATCACATTTTCTGTTGATGCTGATCTTACTACTGGCTTCTTAAAATAGCACCCAGTATGATGGATCAACTTCATGTATTCTAAAACAATATGGCTTTCTCTTGTAGCGGTTGGAGCTCGTATGACCTGAACATGAGCTCACTGGGGTGTCGCTAAGTTGAGCTGTTTATTTAAACCATAACACATCAGACTGATTAAACAACTCCAGCTCCCTGCAGCCACCTGGAAGCTACAATGCTAATCACACTTATAACAAGTGAATGTAAAAAAAAACAACACATATTGAGACAAGAGAGAGGGTCAAAGATCAGCTGTCTCCATCCCAGTGAGAAATGTCTCGAGCCACGCCTCCTCTGCTGTCGTGCCACCCACAAACACACACACACACACACACATACGCACACACTAAATCACTGACAACAAAGCCTGGTTGAAGGGAAACAGACAGAAAAAGTCGGCTGCTTTAAAATATATTCATACACTTAATATTCATGGGAATCACACATCATTGTCTTTGTATTGTGATGAGGGGGAGGACTGGGTGGTGGGAGGAGGCTTCTTTCACAACAACGAGACACAAAGGAGGGGACACCTGTTACCATCAGGACTGAGGCTGGCTTTTCTCTTCTCTCTGAAAGGGGAACAAGACTGAAATTTTAATGAAATGTGGAATTGGTCATCTTCATATAGAAGGAAACACTCAAGACTGAAGGATATTTCTCACAGTCTTGGATGCTGTGTCTGAATACTGAGCTCAGTAGCAGTTTTCTTTGTTAAATCGACACTTATTTAGTTATTTAGCTTCAGTTTTAACTAATTTTACTAAAACTAGTTTATATAATAAAAACCCTCATGAAAACAGTTTCTGGCCCATCAGCAGTCCAGCATTTCTCCACACAAAAGGAAATCAATGATACTTATTTTCGGTGGCTAAACTGTATCGATAGTTACTTTCATATGAATGCAGATACATTTAAAAAACGATGCATTTTGGTCAATGTGTTCCACCTCTTTTGCTCGCCACACGGACTGTTTACTTGTGGTCATCCACAGGGAAATGAGATTGTTGGAGAGGGAAACTAGAAGACTTCCTGCCCCAAAATCTTGTTGCTTGCCAACAGATTCTGTATATTCACATGAGAATAGAGATAAGTGTCATGAGAAGCATGAAGTCCCCTCACCTCCATCGTATCAGGGCTAACATGGATAGACACTGCAAGGCTATGTGAGAAATCTTTTTTTGACTGACATTTGAAGTGGAAAAAAAAACAACTTTTGTTATTTTCGTTTGTTTGGTATCCATCTAACAGCATCAAAGTTCTGATGTGAGTATAAGTACCAATACAAAAGTACAAAAATACTTAATTAGATTAAGTCATTACCTAATTAAATAGAGGTTAAGGAGACTAATCAGATACATCTCAGAAAAAGAGCTAATTAAGACAAAAGAAGAAGAGGGGGAGTGGAAGTGTGTACAGAGAGACTTGTTATGCTGGCTTTGCTTGTTTACACTGAACAAAGCAAAGACAGAGAGGTGGAATAAAGACACAACATTCCCAACTTGAACTGAATATTTTAGAGGAGCTTTTGTTAGAAATGACTTGTCAACAAGATAAACCCGGACTGTGAACTCCCCTCTATTGTCCTCTTACTTCATTGAATTCCAGTGTGATGTTAATTTGGAAAAAAAAACAATGTATAAAAAACCTACATGTATTTTTTAATTGTTAATAAGGATAGTGAGAGGTCAAGTATCAAGTGCGAGCGTGTGTGTGTGTGACCTATTTCCTCTGCAGTGCTGTTGGGATAAAAATACGTCGGACGTAAACAGAGATCACAAAGCATGTGTCACCTCACTGACCTCACCCTGCAGTCAAAACAACACTCATCTGTATCAGCTGTATCTGTTTTCCATCACAGAGCTCATTCTGTTTTTGAAGCTGTTATCTGTCAACTTGGAAGGCCTTTGTTCAGACATATGACAGAAAGAAGAGCCAAACATTTCCCTTTAGCTTCTTGTTTGTCTTTATCAGCTTTTGGAGGCATCAGAGATTCAGTTTGATCCAGCTCAAGCGTGGATGGATTACCAACTGACTCCAGAACAAAAGATGGATGCAGGGGTCCCTTAGTCCAGAGTAGAGGAGATTTTTTATTTATTGTTTTGGCTGGATCATCTATGTTAAGTGATTATTATTATTTTCTGTTTAAAAGTCAAAGAACAGGGATACGATACATGAAAAGACACAAAGCGAACACAGACAAACAAATCCATCACAAAGACATACAAATAAAATATTCTAAAAAAATAGTTTTAGCCGAAGTACAGTCCAACAGAATTTGCATCAAAATAAGTTTATTTTCAGTTAGTAGATCTAACATCTCTAAATTTGACTAAAAGAACATTGGATTAGAAGTGCTGACTATTCCTTTCCTTATTCTATAGCTAAATCTATATTGCATTATAATTCATTAGTTTAGTATATTACTGAAATGTATCAAATTACTAAAGCTGTGAAGTAAAAAGTACAATATTCAACTCCAAATTGTGTGATGAGTTGGAGTTTAAAGTAATACAGGGGCTGTTGAAACCTGCCTGTTTGGTATGGGCTGATGACTTGGCCTGTTTTTTGCACTGATCTCATATAAGAAATGAAATAGAATTTTCTTTATTACTGTTCATGTGTGGATTATATATATATATATATATATATATATATATATATATATATATACCTTTGAGTGATTTACTGAACTGGAATTATCTTTTCACTCATTGCTTGCCAGCTATTCTGCTTGATATAAAGCAATCCAGCAAACAAATGAATGTTGTTATTTTTACTTTATAGAAAAAAAATTTTTTATGAACGTTGCTTTCATGACAGAGATTAGCTCCTGCAAATGTTTTTGTCAGTCTCGGATGGTGAAATAAAAATAATCAAATAATCTAAATAATGTGCCTGGCCATATGTTATTGTTAGCAGGACAGTTTTGAATCGCGGGCCACTAGTTGTCAGCCAATTATCATGTGTCCAAATCACACCAAATTCAACACTGCACTTCCTCAGGCAATTTACAATACACATGCTGAGTGTGAATGTGAACACAAGATAGCTGGTTTGCAAGATATGCTTCTACATACAGAAGGACAGACAGACGTTTGTGCAATTAGTCTGTAGATGGAATAAAAAAAACTGTATTTTAGTGAGTAAATGTACTCAGTTATTCCATGTGGTGTTCATAGAACAAGGAGCTGCAGCAGTGTCATTTTGGGGTTTTAGTTTTTTGGGGGAAAAATAAGTTAAAGCACAACATGTTAATGACAAATGCAGATCATTTCAAATGTGAGTTGAGACAGTTCAGGGCAAGAAATCCATCAGAAAAGCCCTTCATCATGTGGTCAAACACTGATAACCAGATTAATGTCCACAGATAGACATTCATCCATCACCCAGTCAGAGCTCTGGTTCCTGGCTTCACTCCCAGACTGGAGCTGGGGGCCGTCGTCCTGAGCGCTGTGTCCCGGCCTGACCCCAGCCCCTCCCCTTATTCTGGGTTAGATTTCACATCTCTGCCTGCTGCTGGCGTGCTGCCCAGCTGCCCATGGTGCCTGGCTCTGCCTGCCGTTATCCTCCATCATCTTTAGCAGCACCACTGCTCTGTGCTAACAGGAAACAGAGGCTGCTGCAAGAAACAGAGGCTCTATGTGATGATGGACACTGGAGTGCACATGGCAAAGTGACACATGAAACACACGTCTCATCCTGATGATGGCTGAAGACATGAAGTCATACAAGTGATCTCTTAGATTCTTCTTTTCCTCTTACAATTAGGAAATGCTGAAGCACAAGTGAGGCAGAGGATCAACCTTGTCTTGCTGCTATACAAGTGTGACAAAAAACATCCAGAGGGAATGAGTTCAATTGGTTTCATGATAATACCAGAGCAGTTTTATGACACCACAAAAGTGAATTCACAGAGTAACTGAAGGGCATGACGCACTGAGCTGTGTTATTATCCCTCTGCGTAATGACGATTAAATGATGTGATAAGCTCACATCTTGATTTTGTGCGGCTACGAGTCTGTCAAGAAGAATAAATGGAGCCTCTGTTATAGAGCTTAGTCTGTTCCCCGTTAATTTGTGCTTCCCCTGCCAAATATAAAACCCAGCCTTTTCCTCACCCCGACCACAGAGGGCAGCACTACGGGATATACTATTTGCAGACCCTGTTGGATTTATCAGGAATGAAACCCTGCTCCCATAGTTCTCAGCAAACACTGTGGTGGGAGCATGGAGCGGAACAGTGACCACCCACTTTTAGAACCTCTGGTTCCAGAAGTTAATCTTCCATTTATTTTCTCCATTGACGTTTCAGAAAATCCTTATAAAAACTGTTCAAACCTGGAACCAGGTCCACCAGCTACATAATGAAACAAGGTCATAAAACATTTGATTCGGAGCATATCCCATAAACCACAGTGCAATATGTGGTAGTTTGTGTTTTGCATATGTATGTATAGCGTTTCAAATAGTGTATAGTGTAGTAACATAATGTTGCAATGCTGAACAATCTGATTGTAGCCGACATGATTTTGCACTTAAAAGATTTCCATGGTAACAGAGAGCTCTACCAATCAGGAACATCACTATTACATATGAGGATTATGGGTATTTTGGTATTTCTCTTTGAGTTCAAAAATAAAACATTTTGTGTTTTTCTTAAAACACAGTTGATGTAATTTGGACTTGTGGTTTCTACAAGAGCGTATCGTTTCACAATCTCATAGCTTGTGGTAAATCTACATTGGATGGTTATAATATGATGGCAGATGAGAGAAGATTTGTAATGAATGTGAAATTATGTATTAAACAGTAACTATACATATATTGAAGCACACATTTGTATCAACAAATGTCTGAGTGTAGAAAATGTTGATAATCCAATAAACCCCAATGCAAATGAATTTACTGGTGGAGCATGAGCGAGTCTGGCAGATGCAGCAGAAATGTCCACATGGATCCACTTCTGGGAAAACCTTTCATCTGCCGCCGTGGCTTCCAGTTTTTACCATTGATGGTGTACTCCAAAGTCATGCTCCTGTTGAGAGTGAACACAGAGTCACCTCTAACCACAGCAGTGAACAGTGAACCTTTGCTGTTGGCAAAGTGTCCCGGTAGGGCTGACCACTGGCCCGAGCTTATATTGTAACAGTCCATGAGACATCTCAGGAAGTCATCAGAGGGCCCGTTTCTCATGACGTATAAGTTGTCCCTGTGGCCGACAATGCAGTGGCCGTAGCTCTGGTGCCTGATCAGCGTGGTCACAAGCAGCCACTGGTCTTTCGCTGACACATACTCGTAGATCTCAGTGGTCTCCATCGGCCTCCATAAGCATACAAATATTCTTCTCATGGCTTTTGTGCATGCCACTCCCACCACTGGCCGAGGTAAGTGAGCAGCAAATGTCCACCTCCCAGTCTCTACATCATATGTTTCCACAGATGACATCACTGTTCGCTCATATTCTCCTCCGATGGCGTAAAGACGACCCTCTGCACCCAAAAGGCTGAGATTGTAACGAAGCTGTGTGGGACTGGCGATCCTGCTCCAGCTGTTGTTTTCAACACTGTAGCAGAAACAAGAGTCCACGACTTGTCTATGGACTCCATGAACTCCTCCGACGATGTAGAGGTTGTTGTCTAAAACAGTCACTCCAGCCATGGAGGTGCTGGCCTCTAGTGGAAGATCTGTTAATACTTTCCAGTTATTGCCAGTTTCGTCCAGGTAGCAAACCGTCCTGGCAGAAGCATGCACAGTTTCATCCACACCACAGGTCACATGGGCCCCTACAGCCACAAAAACACTTGGGGTCAAAGAGTCCACGTAGGAGATCAGCTCTGATGGCAAGGTTTTCCTGACCTCCGCCTCCAGGTCGACGTACATGTCTCGTATGAACAGTGCAGCCGCATGGTAAAGATCCATGAGGCCGAAGGTTGCAGCTGTGTGATACATCAACAAGCAATTGTCAGAGTCGATGAGGTTGATGAGGTGTTTAGTAAGCAGCGCCACCTGCAGGAATGCAGCACATTCAATAGCCTCAACAATGTCATCGGCGTCCAGGACTGGCATTTCACCTCGTAGAACTGTCAAGGCGATAAGGAAGCCTCGAGCACGCAGGGTCTTGAGGTGGATTTCTTGTTGCCGGCACTCCTTCATCCCAGAGCGATACAGAGCTCGAAAGTAGTCGCAACTCTGAACGAGTAACATCTTCTCTTCGCAGAAGTGAGTGTCTCCGACCACCACGGTTAATTTAGCTGATACGAGCCCTGGGGCAGAACACGGCAGATAACCTCCACTGTCTGCAAGGTCACTGCTGCTGCAGACAGCTGATTCACTGCTGTGTGCTGACATAACTGTTCACTGAAAATATCCTTGATTAAAATGCCACGAGAAGCTGAAACGGTTCCAAATGTCTTGAAGAACTGTCAAAGAAAAGTGACCCATGCAGCAGGAAGCTGCTTCACTCTTCTGGGGGGGATCAGTTGTTTAATACCTTTCAAAATAGAAGCAGCTAAACATAGAAGAGAACAAATGACCATGTGTCACATTCATATAGTGGAGGGAAGAGCAATGAACAAATGCAGGGTTAGTGATCTGCTGCTAATTCTGCTGCAGACTTAAAGGGTCCGGTCTCCCAAATCATAAAAAAATACTTTTTCTGACTTATCGATGACTTGATTGATCTTCTTGATTTGGTTTGAGTTGCAGGGGGATTTGAGATCTCCAGGGCTTAGACATTTGCTCTGACCCCCACAAGAGAGGTGAAGAAAATGTAGTTTGTGCTGCTCAGACCAAGAAAAATACACTTGGAAAACCCCTGCAACATCTGTTACTGTTGATAATCCAGAGAGTATATACTATAGCTGTATGTCAATTCAGAGGATGCATTCTTCAGAGGCTGCATTTGAAGACTGAATGTGTCATAGTACTGCAACTAGGCTGTTCTATTTCGAAGGCTCCTTCAAATGTGTCCCCGATAAACTAAGGCTCTAACGGGCCAACCTATCCTAGGATTCATTGCACATTGTTTTATACCGTTTTTCAAAAAGGTAATGGAGCTGGCAAGCGACAAGATGTCCGATGCTTTAGTATAATGCTTCAAAAAAACTGAACAGATAAGTACACGTTAAAAAACTATGGAGCATGTGAAGGGAAATCTTCTTATTTCGGTTTGGCCTTAATGGCCTGGGTTGACACAGAGGTTTTGGGGTTTCTTGCAAAACTTTTTTGTTACTGTTTACTACGGTGGTTTCTAAGTGGAAGGACTGGAAAAGGTGCTCCGGCCATTGGACCCCACTGTATTTCTCCAGCAGAAAATAGCTCCAATGAAAACAGTGTAGTCTCCCCATATAACCGCAATAGAGATAAGACGTTTCACAGTCAAATAAAGGAAAATAGAACACATTTGCTAATTTTAATAATAATCATGAAGTTAATTTTAGTACTTTTCATAAGATCCAGACATCAGTTGTCACTGCTGGTGAACTACACATGTTTAGTTGTTTGAAAATATTATCATGCATGTGACATGTTATGTGAAGTTGAAGCAGTTTAAAGGAGCTGCTCGGCCAGTGATTGTGACACATTAACTGTATTAACAATATTTTCTAACATTGTTAATCAACTCTCCCAACCACCCACCCACCCAGAATACATGGCAACAACAAATAGAGCTGAAATTGTTGTCTATTCCTTTAATTTCCACACATACAAGCCCCTAAAAACAGGACGATGTTTCCTCTGCTACAGAGAAGGCTTGGTTAGTTTCAGGGTCAAAATCAACTTGGTGTTAATGTTCAATACTTTGTTGACCCATCCATCAACCTCACTCTCCTCCCTCTATGTGACTTATTGTGTCTATAAAAAGGTCAGCTGACTTCTATCTTTGCTCTTGATTGACAAAAGTCACAATCACAAAGGCTGCTCTAAGTATTGGACAGAAACCAAATGCTGTCTTGAGAGTATTCTCTGAAAAAATCTTTCTTTGGTGAGAGTCCAACACTAAACCATCACAAAAGAAGACAGTAAAGTTTCAAGAATCTTGCCAGCTTCCTCTGACTCCCGTCTTTCCTCTCTCTCCTCCACAAACAAGAGTGCTGGAGACTGTTCAGTGCATCATTTAATCATCCTGATGTATTGCTGCTGGTTCAGAGCTGGAGTTGTGATGTAAATATTGAAAAAAACAAACGGAGATGTGATTATCGTCCAAGCGCATGTGAGCGTCTGTGTGTGGATGTGAGCGGGAATCAGTTTGAAGATATTTTTGTCCAGAGAACAAAGGCATGTTCCCTGTTTGCGTCTTTAAATCTGTTTTGTGTCAACCTTGTCTTTACATGAACTTACAGTGAAGGAGGAGGGGCTGACCTACATATGAGCTCACTGGGGCACACATAATACAGCAGGTCATGTGATCGGCCCTCAGTAAAAACAAATCCAGCGGCTCCAGCAGTATGTGTGATTAGACAAAGGGGATTGTGGGACAGTAGGAGTGCTGTTTTGATTGGTTCAGCATGGTAATAACACAGGACTGGAGGAAGACTTTGAGGAGGAATAGTGCCAAGGGATTCAATTATATCATTACAAAGACAAATAGGTTGTATTGCAGGCACTGTAAGTTGAGTAGAAAGTGTAATAAAATTAACTGGGGAAGAATAGAGGTAACGTTATGTTTTAAAAATAATAATCTTTGGCTTTGTGGCACATATGGGTTCAGGGGCTCAGTGTTTCCAGCAGGACCTGGCAACCACTCTGATAAACCCACAGTACACTACCTGCCCAACACCAGACAATGGACAAACACAGTTGGAAAATAGTTGGTGAAAATACTGAAATATTTAGCAGTCACCAACTCAGAGCAAAGCAGAGCATATAAATACATAAAAGTAGCAAATGTACTCTGTTCATCTATTGTGACTCCTTACTTAGCACTTGCACTATCCACCCTGAAATAAGGTGTCAACCCTGAATCTTTGGTGTTATTCTTAATGTCACATAAATATATTATGAACAAATACATAAGAGAAAAAACATCTTCCTTTTCAGAACATAATTCAAGCCACAAAACATACTGTCAACAAAGAATTTGTTCCAAGGCTGTATTTTTATTTGGCCACAGGTACTTATATGAAAGGGCTTTTTAAGAAAGTTTTTATCAGTTCTGGTGTTTGCAATTCAAAGACCCAACCAACATGGCTAAAAAACGAAGAAATTGTCTCTGTTTAGAGCAGAAATCGTGTGTTCCATTAGAATGTTTTCAAAAACTAGTATCAAATATATTTTATGTTACAAACTCAAATATCTGAATAATAGGCTCATCTTGAAAATAGGCCTAATCATATTCCTGAGGTGATCTCATTGATTGTGAGGAGAAACCTGAGTGAGGAGACAGAGAGCCGGAATTACGCAACATTTCCCAAGATAGATTGTTGGAAACAGTGATGCTGCTAACGACCAATTGTTTGTACAGTATCACTAGACGTTAAAATGCATTGCACCGTGTAACTCATCCATTAAATCAAACATCATCTTATAATCAACATGCTGACACAAAATCACCTTCTTGGATGTAGTGTAGTAGAAGCATGAAGTTGCATAACATAAAAATACTCAAGTAAAATGATTATAGCCTTCCTCAGAATTGTTCTTGAACACAGGATTTGAGTATTTTATAGTTTCTTTGCACGCCTTGAATTCAGACCTGATGAGAAATCTGGAATGATCATTTAATTCTGAGGCATGTTGGTGTAGTTGTAGATATTACTACAACTTCTAGTACTACTACTACTACTACTACTACTACTACTTATGATTATGATAATCCCAATCACAGGATGAGTCTTCTCCTCTGCCGCAGCACAACCAGGCTGACCCTCCATGAATCCCTCCGCCTATGCCAGTACGTAAAACTAGCCCGCGTGTTTTCCCGTTATGAACTCTCCGGTTTAAACTTCAGCAGAAACCTCTTTAGATACAGTCTATGGTAGAAACCGATGCTTCTCCACACGTCACCATGAACCGGGACGTGCCGGTGTAGGAATGCAGTGACCGGCTCTGTGGTGCTATTTGATGTCCGGCGGAATGATCTGTGCGCTGGTGGTAAATCTGTGCGGCGGCGGAGCTCGACAGCAGAGGAGCGCGCTCCTGCGGATCAGTGACCGCACGGTGGACCGTCTTTTGTTCCGCCTGACATGGACGAACTCTCGGTGGATTTAAAACGCGCTGTTTTCACATTTCGCCCGTGAGAAGGGCGTGGCGGCTCCGCTGCGGTGCGTGGGATTATCACGCGGATACTTTTTCCCGGGTGTGTTTTCATCGTAGTTGCAGAGGTCAGGGGCACGATGCTGCTCTCCCTCTCTCACAGCATGGATCTGCCGGCGAAGCTCCACCTGCAGCAAGGTAACGATGCGAGCCGGAACACCGGCGGCGTGTTCCACCGTCCCCTGCGTTTTTCTGGGATCTTCTCACTCTTACCTGACCTCACTAAACGCCTCCATCAGCTGGGTTCCATTCAGAATCCACGCCACACAACCAGACGGGTCATATAACACACGCACTGGCAAATCAAGCGCCATTTTCTCGTCGTTATCATTCCGCTAATGGACATTTCTTCAAAGTAATTAGCTGAAAAACACACAATTGCTCATCTCAGTTGTGCCGATACCATCTGTGGTATCACATCTCCACTGTAGAACAGCTTGCACTGTGGAACATTTGTACTTTTTACCAGAGAAATGACAACAACTCGTAAATGAACACATTTCCAGTGCGGTGTCGGGTGTTGGTGTGTGACCTTTAAATAGCACCGCGTGGGGCCATTTTGAAAGCCGGGTGTTACGATAATTATAAGATAATTTGATATCTTTGAAATAACGTTTGTTAAAATGGTTGCCGTTGTGTAGTTTTTATTTAACCGGAGAGCCGATGGTCACCGTGTTTAAACGGCCGGCACAATAACAGCGGGAGTCACCTGAGGACACGGACTCGTGGTGGTCAGTGAGGTGTTGTGGAATATTTCTTTTAAAACGTGTGTAGGTCGCTGTGTGTTCCAGCCGAGGGACGGACACCACACAGCGGACAGCAGACACTCGATTTGAGGGGTTACACGTTCAGGTGCAACACTCCGCAGCGTCTCCACAACTAAACAATGTGATCGATCCTTGTTGTTTTCTGTGTTTCGTAGCCAAAGCTGAGAAGCAGCCATTCGAGAAGATGTACCGGCTGGACTCGGTGCTCGGTACCGGAGGATTCGGCACCGTCTACTCTGCTGTCCGCCTGGCCGACGGGCTGCCGGTAAGAGCGGGGAGCCGCTTTGTTTTGGTCCGGGCACATGGCCGCGGTTCACAGCGTCAGGCTCACAGCAAGGAGAGCGGCCGCGTTTCCGGCCGCAGCCTTCAAAATAAAAGCAGCGCTAACATTTTCAAAAATACTGCAGTTGAACATTCGGTTTGCATTGTTGTTAAGCGATTGTCGAATGTTTGAATATTCATTTTTCCGAGCCCCTAAAAACAATATTATTGACACTAGCTATTATTCTAAACACAGCGTTATTCTTCATATTTATTAAGAATGTAACCAACATTCTCAGCAATTAATCTGACTATTATTTAATGGATTAGTTGTGAAGGAAGAGTTGTCACCAATTTCCACAGGACATGGTGGTACAGTTAGGTTCTACTCATATTAGATTTTCTTTTAATTTAGACGTGAATTTTTTTTTAGATAACTGATTGTAAAGAGAATAATTTAGTTTATTTGATTTCTTTTATTTAATCTTGTCTAATCTTTACACGTTTTATATTCTGGTAGAATCTGTTCTCTTCCTGAGCACCAGGCTTGAGACACATGATTTATTCAGCTCACTGTATCTTCAGTCTACTAATGTACCACAGGTCATCTAATCAATATCCCCACAGTTGTGATGGTTTTCATAATTAGCATATTTATACATTTTGAATACAGTACCATTGTTTAAAACTGCCTGTCTGCATACTGGACTATTCTTATATCACAGCTGCTTGATCATAACAGTAACTCATGTCGTTATAAGATTTGCTTTTATTTTGAAGGCCTTTCCAATTCCCTGTACTTCCTGTTTCATTGTTGTCAGTTGTGCAGCTTGAGGCGTGCAATGCTGTCTGGCATGTGGTCTTTGTTTTCACAAAGACACTCCAGATCGGTTCATCTCTCCTACACATACTGAAATACCACTGTTAGTTGTTCTTTTCGCATCTGGGAGCAGGAAGTAGTGATTCTAACACCCATAGGTGGTGGGAGAACCATGTTTATTAACAAATAGAGAATATACATTTAAAGACAGCTCACTCAAAGTTTCATGTTACTGTTCACACACATATTGTATTACAGCTACTGTTATCCTTGATGGCTGCTGTTTATTCTGTGATTTTGTATAGAATTATACCCTGTTGTGTGTAGCTGTGTGGTAATTTTGTGTTTCCATGCAGGTTGCAGTCAAACATGTGTGCAGGGACAGAGTGACTGAGTGGGGAAGCTTGGTGAGATTTATTTGTTTTTATGTACAAATCAGCAGTTTTAATGTCCTGTTCTGTAAGTCATGTTAGTCTCACTCAAATCATGTTCAGTAAAAATTATGAACACAGTTTAAACTATTTGCATAGCCATTTGGCAAATTTGTTCCAGATTAACACATTTTGATTCAAGGAAAAATCCTTAAGGGTCATTTTAAAATGTGGCAGAGTTGCCAGGCTCAGTTTAAACATACACTGCAGTGATGGTAAACTTAAAATAGCATATGATCTGATTGAATAACTCCATATTTATACATAATCACCCAGCAGAGCTAATACAGTAGGATTCTCTTCATTGTCCTTGACAATGTAAAATAGGTTTGTTGAATAAAACACATTTGTAATAGACAGCTTATTAGAAGAACCAGTGACAGTGAATAAGAGAAACTAGACTAATCTTTACTAATTTTAAGACCACTATGAAATTATTTATAGTCCACTGTAGCAAAATGCTTTCTTTCTCATATGTTCTCAGTGTGGCGCTGTGGTTCCCCTGGAGATTGTGCTGTTGCAGAAGGTGGGTGGGGCGTTTGGCGGCGTGGTGCGTCTGCTGGACTGGTGGGAGCGGGTGGACGGCTGGTTGATGGTGATGGAGCGTCCCGAGTCAGCTCAGGACCTGTTTGATTATATCACGGAGCGTGGCGCGCTGGATGAGGCGGCGGCCCGTGGCTTCTTCCTGCAGGTGCTGGAGGCGGTGCGTCACTGCTACACCTGCAGTGTCGTCCACAGAGACATTAAGGATGAAAATCTGCTCGTGGACCTCAGGACCGGACAGATCAAACTCATCGACTTTGGCTCTGGGGCCCTCCTCAAAGAAACCGCCTACACCGACTTTGATGGTGCGTCTAATCATCTAGACTGACAGGCCTAATCATTGAGTTATACTGGTGCTGTCACCACCACAGCAACAGAAGCACTAATTACCAGGCCTGTTTTCTGTTGGTTTGGCTCTCTGAGGTTGGAAATCAAACATATAGAAAACAATATGAAAGTGTTTCATATTATCTAAAATATCTGATGACCCCTCCCTTCAGGTACACGGGTGTACAGTCCTCCGGAGTGGATCCGGTTCCGCCGGTACCATGGCCGCTCGGCCACCGTCTGGTCGCTTGGCGTGCTGCTGTACGACATGGTGTGTGGGGATATCCCCTTCGAACAGGACGAGGAGATCCTAAGAGGACAGATCTTCTTCAGACGCAAAATCTCCACAGGTCAGTCCTTGTTAAAGAATGGTTCTGGTTTTAGTTTGAAACTGAATGTGGCTGCAGCTATTTCTATTCACTGTAACTGACACTACATAGTTCAAAGTATGTGTTTGTTTTCTCTTCAGTGCTGCAGTGTGTTTACTGCTTTTTATCTTCACCTCCTTGTTTTTCTGGTACAGAGTGCCAGCAGCTGATTGACTGGTGTCTGAGCCAGCAACCGTCTGACCGGCCAACCCTGGAGCAGATCCTCCTCCACCCCTGGGTGACCAGCAGTGATGGTCAGCAGACAGACAGCCTCATCACGTTTCACACCATTACAGCTGACTCCTCATCTCCCACATCCTCTTCCTTGAGCCAGCAGAGCTCATGATTGGTCAGCGGGACACTTCCAAGGGGCGAGACTTGGACTTGATCCACAGCTGTTTTCTGTTTCAGTTTCCTCGTGATTGTGACGATGCTGCTCCAAGGAAGTGTTGTTCAGTGGTGGAGCGACTCATGGTCTCAGTTCAGGTTCCAGTTGACTTTGCTGCTCCACAGCACCCCCTGCTGATCACACTACAGAGCAGCTACTATAGATCCTTTTTCCATCCAGTGCTGCTGTTTGAGTGCCTTGACTTCAAAAGCTGCTGCGGGTGGAATAGTGAGGGACGAGTTCCAAAGAGTTTTCATGGCTAAAATGTGACGTCACAGAAGAATTCAGTCAGATTATTTTCCATTGGGAAAAAAGCATAACTCAATAATTCTACAGCTACAATGTGGGGTTACAGTGCACCAACAGAGCCACGGTGAACACGCCTGAAATGTTTTAATCATTGATTGATTAGTCTATAAAATATCAAAAAAAATGCTGAACACGTTTTCATCTCAATGAGTCTCAAGAGTCCACATTTTGAACTTTCAGTGAACAGTGATATTAGAAAAGCAGAAACTCCTCCTGTTGGAGAAGCTCAAGAGCGAGCGAGCATAGACTCTTGCTTGAAACTTGACTTAAATAATAAATCACATCAACATTGTGATTGATCATTTTGTAGTGACTAATCAATCAAGCGACTTAATCGTTTCAGCCCTAATTGTTGCATCCTAAGTCCGTCGCTGTCCAGGACCAGAGGGGTCTGTTTTGAGGAAAAGTTTGACCGTTAAAATATGATGATTTGCTTTTGACTAAGTGAGAGGATCGATGTAACTGTCATGTTTGTGCAGAAAACATGAAATTATTGCGAGCAGCCAGAACCAAACCATCCAAACAGTTTGTAGTTTTCCAGGGAGTTATTTGCTCGACTATTTCTTGGCTGTGTTTCCAGGCAGGTCCTGAACAAGAAATTTAGTGGCTCATAACACTCTGTAAAATGACGACAGCAAACTATTCTTCTGTTGTTATATTGCTCAAAGGGAATTCGAACATGTCCTACATGGACTTGTTCTATTTGGTTGCTTGGGTTGTTAAACTACAGCCCATAATGTGTCAGTCTTCAAGTGTAGGAGGTGCTGGTTGTAACATGTTACTGTAGCGTTAGCGGTTTCCCCTCGAGTTTCCAGACAACCAGCTGCAGGTGGTAGCCTCACACTTGGCCAACCAGTCGTCTCTTATAAGAAAGTGAACAAACATATTTCCCCAAAAACTTTTCCAGAGTTTACAAAATATTTCTGTCCACCCACTTCACACCCCCAAGGTGTGAAGTGAACTGGGCCAACAATCCTCTCTCCTGCTGATGTGGTGGAAAACTTGATCACACACATGCCTCCTCTGAAAGGCTGGGACTCGTTGACTCTGAGTTTTGATACCAAAATATGACTTTTTGATACTTAAATATTCTCCATGTAATAAACATTTAGGGTTTACTCTGAACAGAAGCAGGCGAGAACAGAAGTGTGTAATAAATGAGGACATTTCTGATAAAAGAAATGTTTCTGACCCAGTCTTCACATCCTGCTGCTCTCAGGCTCTAAGGTTTAAACTAAGAAGGGGGCAAGAATTCATCTCAACAGATTGGATTGTTTTCTGTTTGTTTGTTGTTTTCAGTCAAGCAGGTCTCCATACAGTTTAAAAGTTTAAGATGTTTTTGGTGTCAGTGCCGCAGCGGAGACAAGTTTTAACTATGTTCCATCACCTTTTGTTTTCTCTTTCTATGTCTCGCTCTCTGTCTCTCTCTATCTTGCACTCAGCTTGTGTCTCCATCACTATGTTCTGAAAACATTACATCCTCCGTCTTCTCTCTCACCCTTCGTCTCGGGGTGTAAAATGCACAGTTTAATGCAAATACTTACTCGTTAAAATATATTAGTTTTTTATATGCATATTTTGTACATTCAGTGTTTTTTTTATTTATTTACTGAGACATTCCTCATAATGTGTTTATTTATTTATCTTCAGTTTTTTATACAATGTTTTTCTATTTTTTTTTTGAGCTACTAAATGAGGATAAAGTCCGGGTCAGGTTTGAGTGTTCTCACGTCAGGTTTAAAGGTTTGAACTAATTCTCATTTCATGTATGTTTAGATGTTTTGAATGTAAACTTTTGACAGGGAAAAAGTATTTTTTCATGGAGTTTTTTCAAATTAAACCTTTTGTATATAACTGATTTTCTGTGTGATGTCTCCGCTCTTCTCAGACTCTCTGCATCAACCACATGAACACTAAAATATCCTCAGAATAAATTGGAGCTTATTGAGAAACACTGACACAAGAAGAGGAAAATACAAAACGTTTACATCATCTGGAGAATGTAATGTTGTGATTTAAATAAATTAAACTGGAAAAATCCAGACATAGAAGATTGTCATTAAAATAATAAACTTTGAATTGTAAAAATCATGAATAGTTTATCTTGTAAACAATCATTTTGGTGGAAACAATCAGTGGTAAAGCAAAAGGTTTAGAAATACTTGAGTCCTAGTATTAAACATGTTAACAAGTATTTACTGATATCAACATCAACAGCAGTCAATATGCGAATAGGACTTTTTCACAATAAAATCAATGATTCACATAATATAATGAGCTATGGATGCATTTGTTTAAATGTTACAGCTGGTAAAGGTACTCAATATACCGTTTGTCATTACATCATAAATAATTTGTTGATTTATATATGACAACCATAATCTAAGTCTGTTAAATAAATATAGGGGAAGTGTAAAGTACCACAAAATACACTCAAGTAAAGCTTTTGTATTAAAATACAACAATCCATTTTGAGTTAATCGTTTTCTTCTGTCTGCAAGTATTTTCGATGAAAATCAAATGATTCTGTGTCTCTGTCGTTTGTCACTTTAATACTGAGACATAAAAACACAAGCTTTACTTTAAATAGAACCTTCAGCGACACCGTGTGGCTAATCTGAGAAACTACATTAAAACACATTATGCATAGAAAGAAATTGCGGCTTAAAAACCATATTTACATACACTAATAGTGTTGGTGTCATCTTGATGTTTAAATAATATTAAAAAAGATAAACAGTTATTCTTCTAAGCAGAGTGGTGGGTTCGTGTGTTTGCGTCATTTTGAACAGGCGCATCGGGAACACCTTACGACACAGGTCCTTCCATTGTCAACATCAGGCCAAGCACGTGAACCGTGAGTGAAATGTCTCTGAAAGTCTCTGTAAATGAGACCTGGTGTTATTGTTCTGCTTTATTTATTACATGAGTGTACCTATTTATTTTAAAGAGTCGTACCTTGACCTAACTTCAGACAAAGAGCTCAGACAGCCATGGATTCAGTCGTTTCATGTGCACTCCACACCAAACTCTTTTTAAACATGGAACTAGGACATGGTTAACAAACCTCAGGCACGAAATGTGCTCTCTGAATTTTAACTAAATACATATTTACATTCAGCAAAATGTGTTCTTCAATTCGGCCTCTAAAACATGTTTGTGTATGTCTTCACTTGAGTTTGTTTACTCTGTTAATCATTCATCAAACGAACTTTCACTGGGTTATTATCAGTTTCACGTTATAATAGGAGACATGTAATATTTTACTACAGTAGATGTGGGTTGTTAGAACATGATATAGTAATAACATGGAAATGAATGAATGAATTACTCCTTTTATTTTCAGTTGAGTAAGATTTCACATTAAGTCTGAAATAAGCCTACAAGAGTGGTGTGTTACATCATATATGATGTCATAGCTGAGACCCCTGAGAGCAGCCACTGGAGGAAAGGAGGCCGGTGTGTAACGGATGCTGTGTGTTTTCTGTCTGAGGAGTCGGAGGTGAGGATGGGTCGCTCCTCCAAAGACAAGCGGGACATTTACTACCGTCTGGCCAAGGAGGAGGGCTGGAGAGCGAGGAGCGCCTTCAAGCTACTGCAGCTTGACAATGAGTTCAACCTGTTCACAGGTGAGACCCAGAGGCACCCAGTATATCCCTGTCCTACCACACAGCTGCCTCCCGCTGTCAGGACAGACCACAGGAACCAAGAACAGAAGGATTTGAAAATGCTGCTTACATGTGCAGAAATGAAACCTTGACAGAAACGCCTCAACAGTTAAATCTGCTCTTACTTATCTTTTTTCAAAAAAACAGACTGAGAACTCCAACATTTGTTGATCTGTCGTACAAATAGCCTGGTTCCTGTGCTCAGTCTCTACTCCACTCCATTTTTACCTCCATAAGCAAGATTACACAAAACTATACTGAACAGATTACCATGACACTTGGTTGAAGGGTGTGTTTTGGGTCAGGGAAGAACACATTAATATCTGGTGCAGATCTAATTGAGGGATTTTTTTCACGTTCTTTAAAATCGGATTTTTTCAATATTTCTCGTGGATTTCTCAAAATAATTAATGAACAAAATCAGACATGTTTAGGAGACTGATTAATATATTAATCTATTCTATACTTATATTAATTATAAGTGTGTGAAATGTGGTGCAGATCCAAATATAAATCCATATTTAGTGAATTTAAATATAATTTCATGAGAGGACTGTTGGGTCTTGGTGGAGGTGGAGAATCTTAGTAAAGATATTTCAAATTCATTTTTATGTTTCTGAACTGTGAGTTCTCCGTTTCTCCTTTTGAACTGTGGTGAATCAAAACGGAAGTTCAACATATCTTCAGTGTTGTTCTGATGAGCCATAACTTCAGTTAAATAAACTGCAGTAGTGGCACTAATATTATTTATATGCTCCAGGTAGTTTGTACTGTATGTTGCGTATGTTATGTTTTGTTATGTTTTACTTTGCTACCAGAACTTAATAAGTGGCAGTTAGTTTTCAGTTCCAGTTGTAGTACATGTCCCTGTTGTTGTGATTGCTCAAAAACTCTGATGTGGACGTCAAAAGTCTTTGCTTCTGCAAATGGACATCTGAGGCTAACATTACCTTCAATTTCACACATTGAAAGATATCTTCAGTATTAAAAGGATGTGACAGAGAAAGATAGACAGAGAGCCAGAGTAAAAGCATATTTATTGATAGAAACAAGGCTGAAACTATACCTTAACTTTCTTTTAGTTATAATTTGATGTAATTGAGAATACATATCTGGTTTCTTAGTAAAGTTTATGGTGTAGTTTCTGCATACAGTGTCAACCAAAATGGCTGTCAGTGTCTATATGAAGTGTCCAAAATGGGTAGACTTGGACAAAAAGTATAACATAGGTCCAATTGTCTGGTTCTGACGTCAGTCCGGGCTTCTGTCCCTGCCCACATGTTCTGCTGTCTTTTAAAAAACACGTCTGATTGATTCTGTTTGTCTTTTTCTCTGTCAGGTGTGAACAGAGCAGTGGATCTGTGTGCAGCTCCTGGCAGCTGGAGTCAGGTCCTCAGTCGGAAACTCAGGTTTTAACCAAATGAACATCCTTATATTCACCTGGACAGAAATCCTCTGTGTGGCTACACTTTCATTGAATGGATTTTAATGAATGAGATGAAATTGATCTTAATAATCCAACAGTTAAACAATTGACACGTAATTGTTTTTCTACTCAGAGGTCGGGAGGAGAAGGGTGAGGAGGTGAAGATCGTGGCGGTGGACCTGCAGGCCATGGCTCCTCTGCCAGGAGTCACTCAGATCCAGGGAGACATCACCAAGGTGAGGAGATGAGTCTGAGAGTCATCTTCCACTTCAGCAACATAATGAAATATGATGTGTCGCCATTGTCATTGGCTCTTCATTTACTTCTGCTGCTCATTTTCCCCTCTCTAAAGCTTCTCTCAGGAGGTGATACTCAATCCAGGTTCAGAGATGGTTTTAGGGTTTGGCAGCAGTTTTTTGTGAAAAGTGTTGTGTTGTGGATGCTGACAAGGTTGAGGTGGTGCAGTTTAGAAATTTACACATTTTGTTGATAATTTAAAATGAAAGATAAGTGAATGCAACCCTTGTAACGAAGAAATAAAAACAATAGACCTTCAAGCTTTAATCTACTGACAGTTTTTGTTTCATTTTGACAGATTTCAGTTTTTTTCATTCATTTCATTTGGTTTTTACCAGGAGGCTGACAGGAAAACCTTTTGCCCATAACCTGTCACTTGGACAGTTGTGTTCTCACATACCGTCCCTCTGGATAGTTTCAGGAGATTATCTGGAGTTCAGTGCACGTGTGATAGCAGCTTTAAAGTTGGCGATGGTTGATGTTGAGGTTTACTTGGAATCGTTGTCTGTTGTTTAGTGGAATCTATTGCTACGCAGCTCCAAAGCAGAATATGTCTGATGTTTAAGCACTGGCAAATTCATGAAACAAAGTGCTGATTTTGTATTACATTTTAGGGAAGGCTCTTTTTTAAACAGTTTGAAAAGTTCTTCAAACAGTTTCAGTTCAGTTTCTCGGGACTCTCTCCTGCCAGCCCCCAAGTAAAAACTTTGGCTACTGTTTTGAATGAGACCTTGAGAGAAATGAGCAGGAGATTCTCTGGAGGATTGACAGTGAGCAAGTGGGCCTGTTGATGATGTTTCTCATACACCACAGCAAAATGAAAATAAAAATTTAGTATACAGAAATGTCTGAATGAAAAAGAGGTGTCATACATGTCAAAAGACGTCAACCAACATTCCACATTTTGGAAAGACAATGAGATCCGAGAGCTTTAGATGATACGGGCAGACGCAGGTGTCGATGTGCTGGAAACAGAAACATGTGATCTCAGTTGTGGAGTTATTATTTTACATCCTGCCTCCTGCATGCTGTGCCACCCCTCACCTGAATATTCTAGAGATTGTTTTATTGTTGTCAGTGTGTCTGAGCTCAGAATCTCCTGCTGTGTTCTTCACAGTGAAAGGAAACCTCTGGAGACAGTCCAGACCCCACTGTCCAGATGTTTTCCAGAGTTCATGTCTGAAAACAGCTTTGTGCTAATTTAAATGTAGCTGTTTTGAGGGAAAAGTTTTTATGGGCTCCAGCAGGAACATGGACTCAGAGTGAGCGTGATAAAAATTCCTGAATACATTTTTGAATTCTGAAATGTCCCAGTTTGTAAAACAGGAGAAACTCACTGCAGAGCAGCCACATTAACTGTGTCATCCTCTTCCTCTCAGGTGTCGACAGCTCAGGAGATAATCCGTCACTTTGAGGGTCAGCCGGCCGACCTCGTGGTGTGTGACGGAGCCCCAGACGGTGCGACGCTCCCTTCATCACTTGTCCTCATCTGGTCTCAAGTCTCCTGTGTCTCCCTGTTGTATTGTTGTTTTCACACTCTCAGGAATCCTTGTCTTCTGTGTTTCCACAGTAACGGGGCTCCATGATGTGGATGAGTACATCCAGGCTCAGCTCCTATTGGCTGTGAGTATAAGGGTTTGGTTGTGTTAACCTGTCATTTCGTGGTGTCCTGCTGACATCTGCTTGTGTTTCAGGCTCTGAATATCACCACTCACGTCCTGAAACCTGGAGGAACATTTGTGGCCAAAGTGAGTCCAACTTATTCCTTAGCTAAATGTTTAGATATATATTTAGCCATTTTCAGACATGACCTCTGGAGGATGTCTGGAAAATTGGGTCCAGACTTTCTGAGTTTTCTTTACATGAACAACAAAAGGAGATTCTTCACTGTGACACTTTAACAACAACAGAGAAATCTGCAGAGCATTCAGTGCATGTCTGACAGCAGCTTTATATACATTTGATATGTTAGAGTTCAAAGTCTAATTAAGAACCTTGTAAAGCAGTTCTGTGTGGGATTTGATCATAGCAGAAACCTGATGATACTAGTGTTGCTTTTGGTGGTGTTACTGGTGTGGCCAGTTTTAAAACTAAAGTGAGCCCAGCAACATTTCCAAACTTCTGAATTTTAACAGCTCTAGAGCTCCAGAGTGGTGTAGACGCCAGGTGTTCGAGAGGCAGAGTTTTTTTTTTTTGCATTTTCCAATGATGCATTGTAAGCTATGGACATCATATCTCCTTTCAAGTGAGACTGTGTTAACCCCACCCTGCTGTGTGTCTCAGATCTTCAGAGGTAAAGATGTGACGCTGCTGTACTCTCAGCTGAAGATCTTCTTCAGTGGTGTGACCTGTGCTAAGCCTCGCAGCAGCAGGAATTCCAGCATTGGTGAGCCACCGCCACTGTTGACCAAACACAAGTAAAAACGGAATTTTCCTTATTCATAAACCCATGATGTTTGCATGAATTCTGTCTCTCTCTGTGTGTGCAGAGGCGTTCGTGGTTTGTCAGAATTACTCTCCTCCTGAAGGTTACGTCCCCAACATGTCCAACCCTCTGCTGGATCACTCCTACGGTAACTATGAGCCCTTTTTCATATGAGGTCGGTTTCTACATATGTGATCTGGATAAAGAAAGCTGGTGTTACTGCAGGTTCAGTCAGAACAGATTATAATCACAGTGCCAGAACATATGGACATGTGGAGGTGATGGATGACAGAAGCAGCATCGTTTCCCACGATGCCACACAGCTCCATTCAGATAATGTGTATCGTCAGCTCCAATCGGAGAAAACGGAGAAGTTTGAAAACTCCGTGGCTGCGCTTTAGTTGTAAGGGGCAGAAACAGAGATGTTTGGGAACAATGACAAAGACACTCTCAACCGCTTGCTGGTTGGGTCTTTTCGGTCACCACGCACCCCTTACTGATTCATCAGGCTTCCATCACATGAACCACTTCTGGAAGAAAACAACTGGCATTAGCCTCGACTACCAGTGAAGAACACAAGTGCGCTGACCCTGTTGTCTTTGTTAACAGCTGTTGTTCAGTTAAATTCAGCATTTTGCAATGATACACCTGTTTACATGTGCGGGAGACAAGCTATTATTCAAGCAATTCCTGTGTACATTGGCATTTGCATGCCCAGTCTCTGTGATATGTCACGTGATTAGCATTTTCAGTGGACTTTTACTCACAGAAATCATATGAGATGTAATTGAATCTTTTAAAGGTTAGTCTGTATTTTACTGAATGATCACACCTGGTTCAGTGTAAGAAGTCTGATATGGACGAGTCTGTAGTTTCCCTGCAATGTCCATGGTCTCCTCTGCCTCGTCTAACTCTGGGTTCTGGTCTCTGCCCATCAGATGTGGACTTTAACCAGTTAGAGGGTCCAAATCGTGTCATTGTTCCCTTCCTGGCATGTGGTGACCTCAGCGCCTTTGACTCCGACAGAACCTATCCTCTGCAGGTGAGGAGACGCAGCTTTAACCTGCATGTTCACACTGAGTCATGATTCACTCACTTCATCCACATTGTAACAGTTGTTATTCCAGTTTCAGAGTCATTATAAGTGTTTCATTATAATAATAATAATACATTTAATAATTATTATAATGAAATTAGTTTTAATTATTACTCTGAAACTATTATTGTTATTATTTTTTAAGTATCATTAATTTACCCATGACCAATTATGTAGTTCTGCTATTTAATGTGGATTTTCATGGGATAAGTAATGGATGAATGAACTGATGGTAATTTATTAAAAGATTTCTAGGTGAAATCTTACATTTTTCAGTTAAGCCGGAAAAATGGCCAAATTACAGGGATTTACAGGAAGTTGATGTAGATGAAGCGCTGGTTTTGTATTTGAATTCAAAGATAAAGATCTTTTCAGCTGCAAAATAAGGGATTGCCTGCAATGTTATTCAGAGAGTTTTACCTCTTAAAACCCCCTCATTTAACCACCTTAAAAGGTCAGTTGAAGACTATTTTTTTTTACATTAACAATCTCCCTGTCGTCTTTCTTCAGCTGGATTCTGATAAACAGTACCAGTACACGCCCCCCACTCAGCCGCCCATCTGCCCCCCCTACCAGCAGGCCTGCCACCTCCGCAAAAACAACATGCTTTCCAAAGAGGACACTCCGTCCGTCTGTCCCGACGAGAGTCGAGACGAGACAGAGCCCTTAGCCGATGGAGAACAGTTTAAATAATACATTCAGTATAATGCTGTGCAGAAACTGTGGATCACTGTACCGGGTGTTTGTTCAATCACAGGAGTTTGTTTTTATTGTTTCATCTGGTTTTATGTAGGTCTCTGTGACAGATCCCTCATCCATCAGGCCGAATAATTGTTAACATTTTATGTTCAGTGTTTACATTCATTTAAAGAGTGACTAAATTCAGAATAATGGATTGTCTCTATAACACATTATATTGTTCATAACACAATCTTGTTTCTGATCAAAAGCTCCTAAGTCACAGAATTGATCATGTTTTGGTCTTTAGATCTTCATCATTCATCATTGTTCTCACAAACAAATCAGTCTTTACCTTGTCAACAGTAGCTCTGCCTGTCTGACAGCCATAACTGTGTTTTTACATTGAGTGCATTAAAAAGGTGAAATTAAGAAAATTATGTTTGTGCAGACATTTTTGAGCTATTGACCATTTATAAGCCTAATTAAAAAAGTAAACAGTTACTCTTTCTCTAGATACTTGAAGTCTACAAGATAACTCACAATAAGTTAATGTATTTTGCATTTAAAAGACATGACAAGCAACAACAACAAAAAAGATAAGATTAAATGTGGTTGTGTATGTTATTTATTGGAAAGCTGCAGCGGAGAGCAAGCCCTGATAAATGTGAACTAACCCTAGCAACTAGAAACTCTGTTATTTTAGTGGATTTGATTCTGGGAACACTGAATAAACTTTCTCAGATGACCTGAGAGGTCTGGATGCTACAAATAGATCACAGATGTGTTTAAGCCTGAGGACAATTAGGACCAGTAATAGGATTTTAAAATGAATCCTTTGACACAGGTTACTAGGTCAGTGATTTGAGGACTTCCTTGGTGTTGGAGAGGACTCGGGATGATCTGTTGCCATCTGCTTGTTTTTTTTCCTCTGACCTGTAAAGAGACTGTTGCTTCAATATTGAAGCCTGTTGACATTGAACACTGTATTATTCTTTTAATTCTTGTTAATGTAAAAGCTCAGGAACTGAAGCTTTATAGGTGAAGAGTTTACTTACCTATCAAATCTCTGCATTGTCTCTAAATTCCCCTTGAGTTAAACAACCTGGCTATACCTACCATGATCAACACAGAAAATAACCTGCTAAAGTGACAGTACAAATAAACAAACA